CTTTTTTTTAAATACATGTTAAATTGATGAAAGTGAAATCTTACTGGAAAATCCAAAAATTATTGACAAATCTAATCAAAAATTTGGGACAACGTTTATGGGTAAAAAAGTTTTAAAAAAAATAACAGGTTTTTGGGGTACATGTTTTTGCTATTTTTTAAAAAGGGCCCAAAATTCATGTACTACTAAATGTTTTTAATCACTACTTTTCTAATAAAGCTATTAAATTGAATATTAGGGGAAAAATTCACAAGAAAGTTGTAGGACAGTCTGAAGAAAAGGTCCCTCAACTGGCAAGAAAAAGGGGTTTTTATTGTCAAATAAAAAGTAAATGATCCAAAAAACTTATTACATTTGAATCATTGTACAGTGTTTATTGAGGTTCTTTTTTTCTTTGGCAAACAAACATATATTGGTTAGTTTGGACATGATTTTGTAAATAGCACTTTTATATTCCAAAGACTGAATATTCTATACTTTGGAAGGATAATAAATGTTCATTGGGATGTAAATGTGAGGGTAAGGCCATAGGGCAACCCACAAAATCCATGAATAATCATGTCCCACAAAAAAATTTTTCCAAAATATTCATCAGTTAAGAGTTATTTGTTGAACTGACAGACAATGCCTCAACTGTGATGGGAATTTTTAATTTTAGTGGACAGTTGGCATACTCATTTTATTGATTTAATTGACATGAAAAATATGAATTCTCTTTTAAAAAATGTTTAGTTTGTAATTGCCAATTAAAAAAAAATAAAATACTTTTTTTTTTTATGTGAATTTAAAAAAAAGGGCTAATAAGATTTAAATAACTTGTAAATACATATACATGTAGAATTGGAATGGTCAAGTTGTATTTATTCTTAATTTTAATACATAATTTAGGAAAATTTGTTCAAACTTTTGAAATGCACTAAAAAATTTCTTTGGAAGAGGTAGTCAAAAATGTAAATTGGCAAAGATTTGTTTCATGATTATGAATGCTACATCTCTTAATAATGACAGGTAATAAGAAATTTAAAGAGAGAGACATGACCTACCCGACTCTTTGGGGAGAGTGATTACGAAGCATATCTTCGACAAAAAAGACGGGAAACTGACGGCCCTGATGAGAGGGTTGTTATTTTTTTCCCAAAAGAAAACCATTTTTTTGGGTTAAAATTTTTCCCTTTTTTTTTTTGAGATAATACTGCAAAAATTTTTCAATACACAATTTAAAAAATACATGTATATTAAAAAGATTTGTGTATATACATGTAAATTTTAACATCAGCTTTAAATAAACGACACCATTTTTAATAAATTAGTAGACAAAAGATGTTGGATATTTGAATATAGTAAAATAAAATCAGCCATTCCTAAACAGTTTTATCCAACATTGAAAAATAACAACTCAGTATTTAATAGCGAAATAAAACTCTCTTATAAACTGAATAATAATTTACTCATAAAAAGAGATAGTAATAAAGTGGTAACCTTTGAATATCAAGTTAAAGAACATAGAAAAAATATTGAACAAGACAATAATTCCAAAATGTAAGAAAATGGGAAAATATTTATCAAAATAACATACAGTGGGACCTTAGTTTGCATAATATATTGAAAGTTAAAAATAAAATTCAAGAATTCCAATGGAAATGCGTGCATAATATATTGTATACTGAAGATAAATTATGTAAAATCGGACTATCCAATGGTTTATGCAACTTGTGTAAAAATATAAAGAATCAACAACACCTCTTTTCCATTGCGCATAAACTGGTTTAAAAAGTGAAAACAACACTCAAGTTACTAGAAGATATAATTGAAAATGTACTACAACTAAATGGAACTTTACAAATTGACCAACAAACAATAATATTAGGATACTTGAAGGAACCGCAAACCCAAAGAACCGTTATTAACATTTTAATATGTATTTATAAATGGGTCATATGGAAAACAAGAAATAAAATTAAATATGATAATTTAAAAATAACTGACTACAGTATTAAAAATGCATTCAAAAATGAAATGAAATCGAATTTTTTACTATTACAATCACATGATTTGACAAAATTCAAGGAGAAAATAAATCATATGTTTCAAAATTCCTTGTGATTCTAATACCATGCAGTTATAGGGTTATTGGCATTATCTGCTGCCGTGATAAATTATACATACATGTATTCACATTCATTAATTAACTATATGGCACACTAGGTTTTTGTTTTTTTTTCTCTCGGTATTATCTGCTGCCGTGATAAACTATATATACATGTATTCACACATAGAAGTCCACTATACGGCACACTATTTTTTTTTTATTTATTTATTCCTTTTTTGCTATGTTATTTTTCATGTAACTGGAAACATTATGTTTAAAATATGTTCAAAATGAATAAATTAATAGATCATCAAATGAAAATGTAATGCCAGATTCAAACTATGTATGTGAGGAAAAATATTCATGTCTTTGTAAAATTCATTCATTCTGACGTATTATTATAATCTAATTTTATTATCACAAAACTCATGATTAAAGGTGTAACATATGTTTTGGGTCACCCTGTATATGTTAAAACCTTACTGGTAGTCCAAGGCAACATAAAAGCTATGTTTGTTTCCAACATTCATAACCGAAAATTTGTTAATGGTAAAAAAAAATTATTTATTTAAGTGAAAAAAAATTTAATCCCCAAAAACATTTACAAAAGAATTTAATTGGGAGACATACCAAAATCAATAGAAAAAACATGACTAGAAACGATTACAAAACAGTGGTCTCCCAGCGACAATATTGTTATAACACACCGGTGTGACAATGCGGTAAAATCAGTATTAATATATACATAAAGAGTTTAATGATAAACAACAAAGCTTTATGATAAACTTGATGACTAACTTTTCAATCATAAACTTCCTTCACTTATGCAGCAATATATACAAGATAGATTAAAGGTCAATACGTACTGGTTCCTACTGACTAAGCAGGTAACGACAATGTCTTCGTTTGTAAGTCTCATTATATTAATTCTACAAAGGGTAATCTAACTTATACTCATACATCTCTTCCTAAGGAAGAAAGTTTTTAAAATCACGTCGGTTTTGAATATTTTTTACATCCCAAAAACCAAAATGAATTTAAACTACTACATATATACATGTACATGTATATACTGGATTCCGAAACTTAATAAAAATCCTTACAAACAACAAAGATATATATTGGGTTCCAATAAATGTTCAACCAACCCTCTTTATTTACTCCTCACTTATAGATATTAACCCAGTGAAGGAGAAACTTCAAGAGTACTGTACAACAATATATTCAAGAAGTGGTGTAAATCAGATGTGGATATCTCAAAATTCTAAGGAACTTTTGGATAATTTGAAATCACCAGATTTTACCAAGATCCAACGGCTTAAAAACTTACGTACGACTTTTCAACTTTATAAACAACCATTCCCCACGATGAAGTGAAATCCAAGCTTTTTGATATCATTGACAACCGCTTTTAAATAAAAATGGAACTCGTAATTTACTTACACTGTCATCGGTCATTTGCAAAATTATGTTGTTAAAAAACAGTCTGACCGGTCGGCAGGGGATGCTCACCACTCAACATACCACCTGATCCCACCTCTGATGATTTGGAGGTCCGTGTTTGCTCTGCTCCTATTTTGTATTGTTTAATGGACTTTTGATCTTGAATATTCTATCTCCATATGTTTCACTGAATTGTCGAAGGATTTTTTCGTTATTTTCTGATCATGACAAGGGTCACTCTGCAAATAAGACTGGTTAGCAGGGGATGCTCTCTCCTCTATGGCACCTGTTCCAACCTCTGATATTTTAGAGGTCTGTGTTTGTTCTGCCCTTGATTTGAATTGTGCAATTGACTTTTAGCTTGAATACTGTTCGTTATCTTCATTCATTTCATGCGCTAGTATTTTATAGGAAGTTTTGAAATCTTAGCTTGCAAAAAAGTATAATGCAGTCGAATGTGTTGAGATAACGATTAGTATTCCAGCTCAAAATTCAATTACAAAATAGGAGGGAAGCAAAGCATCAGAGGAGGGATCAGCTGCAATGATTTTTTAGGTTTATGAAATAAAATAAAGAAATCTCACTTAATGCCACTAGTTAGACCTTTAACAATATTACATACACTGTAGATAGTTATCACAGTTTATCAATTATTTCTTTTCCAGTTAACCATTCAGATACTGTTGTGTCCCTTATGATTTACTTTTGTATTTTTGTGAGGATGGCATCTCTAGAGGAAATAGTTGATACAAAAGATACGGAGATTTCACTATATATGAAGAAGATTCTGCATAATTGTTAATATCAGAAAGAATATATTACAACTGCCAGTATTTGGTGATATATATTCTTATGAATTGTAGTATCTTCTTCCCCAGACGGAAACTTCACATAAGCTTAGCAAATTTCCATCATGATCTGTCATCATTCTATCCCCAGTAATCTTTATTGTTACAAATCGGCCGACAAGGCAGGAGGCACACTGGATTTTATACCACTGACCAAGTTCTGCAGTCTCGCTAAACAGACCACAGGTCTTCATCTCCTCCCAAATAGTCAGGTTTCCTATCCGGACTTCAACGTCATGAAAAAACTCCGCTTAAAACAAAGATAAAAAGTGTATTCATATTATTGTTATAATTACTGTTTCTGATTGCTCGTGTAATTAACAATTTCAGATAGAAATACTATTGTTGTATATTTTACCTAAACACTGTCATGTACAATATATCTGATAGTTTCGTAAAAAATGAATTGACTTATTGGAATCAGGACTTGCTCCCAAGACAAATCACCCCACATTATTTAAAGTTGTCCTGAATAGGTGGCGAGTTCTCTAGGGAGCGAGTTGTGCAGAATTCGTCTGATTGACGATGACAAATATAATTATGCAAAAAATATTCTACAAAACATTTAAGAAGTTTAATTCTCACAAATATGAAAGGTTTATTTCGCTCATGGGCTTCAGGCTTTTCCATTTTTTTAACGAATAGTTTAATTTGGTATTTTTCTATATATTACAGTTGTATATCATTTCAAAAACTCGAATTAAGATTTACCATCCTTATCTCCTCTTGTTAGTTTATTTTCTCATGGATTTTGGTATTTTGCTATATATATCTGTTCAAAAACTTGATTAAAGATTTACCACTCGTATCTCCTCTTGTTAGAAGAAGTAGGTGATCAATGTAGAACAGGTTCTGTAGGTCAATTGTTAGGTGGGGATTGCGTTCATAACCATCAGAGTGAGCACAGTGCTCTGGCCCACTGACCGTGACGATTCCTATACCATCAACAGCGTTAAATGCATCTGAATCCGATCTCCACACAGAAGACAAATTGGCTGGTTTTCTTAAAGCTACATTTCTATATTGCTCTAGATTGAAAGAAAAAATGAACTTCAAATTACTTGAATAATTTTGACGCTTAATATTAATAGGAAACAAAGGAATACAAATATTTATATGAACCTTTTGGTAAGCAAAACAGTTTTCCGGAGGAAAGGTAAACACTTTGAATGGTCTCTTCACAAACATTAACCTGAAAAAAGTAGGTATTTATTAAGAATAAGTAAACCCCGAAAAAATCCTCTTTAAAAACATAATCAGAAATAAATGGTGTTGCATATTAAAACAAAAAAAAAAAAAGAAAAGAAAAAGATCAGCAGTGGCCGATCTCAAACAAGAGGCCCATGGGCCTTAAATGTCACCTGAGCATCATGCATCATGCAACAACTTTCAAATGATTGAATTTGGTTATGTTCATGTTTTAAACTAGATGCTATGGCATTCACAATTTTGAAAGAGGCACCATTGCTAATCATAACTATACACTTAACAATTTTTTAGTTTCTTAACTTAATGTCCATAAGCAGGGTAGGAGAACAAAAAATGCGTTTCAACTAATCAGTAATATTCAGCAATAATCAGAATTGCCCCTACCACACTCAAACACTAGAACCAGGGGCCTAGAATTTCACAATTCTGGAAGAAGAGTCCTTGCACATCATAACTATATAGGTTGTTTATCTGCTTATTACCCAGGAGTAGAGGAAAAGATTTACATAGATGTATTTTCTCTATTCTAGAGCCATAACCCCTGACCCTGGGGCCAAAAAATTCACAATTTATGTAGAGACATTCTTGCTCATCATAACTATGTACTTAGTCAATTTATTTGTTACCCAGGAACAGAGAAGAAGATTTCCAAAGAATTAATGCATTTTCACTATATAATCAATATAATCCCGCCCTAGCACTAGAACTCCTGACCCTGGGGCCATAAAATTCACAATTTTGAAAGAGGCACTCTTGCTCATCATAACTATTAACTTAGTTGGTTTATTCAATACCCAGAAGCAGAGAAGAAGATTTTTAAAGAATTAATGTATTTTCACTATATAATCAGTAGAGCCCCGCCTTAACACCAGAACCCCTGACCCTGGGACCATAAAATTCACAATTTTGAAAGAGGCACTCTTGCTCATCATAACTATGTACTTAGTTAGTTTATTTAATACTGAAGAGCAGACAAGAAGATTTTCATTCAAAGATTTAATACATTTTCACTATATACATGCAATCATAGAGCCCCGCCCTAACACCAGAACCCCTCACTCTGGGGCCATAAAATTCACAATTTTGGTAAAGCCTGCTCACTATAACTATATACTTAATTAGTTTATTTAATACTTAGGAACAGAGAAGAAGATTTCCAAAGAAATAATGCATTTTCACTATATAATCATTATAGAGCACCACCCTAAGACCAGAACCCCTGACCCTGGGACCATAAAATTCACAATTTTGGTAGAAGCATTCTTGTTCATCATAACTATGTACTCAATTAGTTTATTTAATACTAAGGAACAGAGAGAAGATTTCCAAAGAATTAATGCATTTTCACTATGTAATCAATAGAGCCCTGCCCTATTATCAAACCCCTGACCCTGGGACCATAAAATTCACAATTTTGGTAGAAGCATTCTTGCTCATCATAACTATGTACTTAGTTTATTTGATACTCAGGAGCAGAGAAGAATATTTTCAAAGCATTTTCACTATATAATCAATATAGCCCCACCCTAGCACTAGAACCCCTGACCCTGGGGCCATGAATTTCACGATTTTCTTAGAGGACTCAATGCTTATTACAATTATGCCAACAGATTCTCTGCTTCATGTCCAGGAGTAAAGAGGAAGATTTTTAAAGATTGCACTAATTTTAGTGGTTTTTGCCCCACCCCTAGGCCCCAGGGGGGCAGAGACCATGAAATTCACAATCTTTGTTCCCCTTCACCCACAGATGCTGTATGCCAAAATTGGATGAAATTAGTTCAGCGGTTTCAGAGAAGAAGCTGAACATGTTTAAATGTTAACGCACGACGACGGACGAAAGCAGATAGCAATAAGTCACCTGAGCTCCTAATTTGCAAACCGATAGAATTATCAAGAAATAAACTCCAATAACTTTCAGAGTTATCAAAGAGAAAAAAAAATAGAAATTGAAATATTAGTCTATTAAGTAATCCCCTTTTAACACGACATTGTTAATACAAGTATACACTACTGTTAAAAAGAGAACAACAGAAAAACATGTGCTGACTATGTATAAATTTAAGTCAGTAGAATTGTGGGCCTCCTCTTTATCGCACGGAGATAAAGGAAATTGTGTTGACCCCTTCCCTTGAAAACAGATTCGTAAATACATACTTTTATTTATTTTGATTAAGTAAAAGTTGTAGATTAGATGTTAATCATTCCTGCAATTAAAGGAAAAATGCATGTCCTGAAAGTTTATTTTGGCGCAAAGTCTTTAAGTGTAGTAATCTTTTAAATAATATGTACAGATCAGTTTCTTAATTAGATACTGAGAAATTTGCATTCCGTCATTTTAATATGAAGATATAATGCAATGAATACTTTAAAATAATTTTTTATATATAATTTTCCATTGCAATAGTATAGACGTGAAAATAGCTGAAATACATGTTACATCATGTAGAAAATAAATTTTAACAAAATCATAAAACATGTACGTGGACGAACATTCAAACATTACTTTATTACCTGGACTCTTTTTTGACATTCTGTCCCATTCCAAAGTTGTGTAGGTGTAGTTTCTTTATTAACACTATGTGCACTCAACAATTTACATCGAAGGTTTTCTTTGTTATATTCCACGGACACACAGACACTGATCTGGCTACATCTTTTAAGACACATCTGGTTACCTAGAGTATCTATAACGTCAATCACATCATCTTCTACGCAGAGAACAACGACAATCGAATTCATAAAAAGGACAAATGCTGTGGCAATAAATTTCATTGTTCCAAGTTTTTTTTTCAGACATACAATGTACATGTAAAAAGTTAAAAAAAAAAAAAGTAATGAATCTGAAATAATTACAGGGACATGGAATCTTCTGCGTATCTCCAATATTAAATGAAACAGCTGATTGAAACACTATTTATAATCTATTTAATTAATTATCATAAATGTAATAGTGTATGTTGAACGACAATTCTCTCCTGGGTCCATATTCAAAATGTAGCCATTAACACAGTTATTATATCGGAAAACCTATGACACGTCAATCATGGAACATCTTCAAACGCTTTGGTCTTCTAATTCTAATTAAAATTAGATGTGTGATCTGCTCCAGCTTGATTGTGACACTTTGTAAGTTTAAAGATAAATAAAGATGAATACAGTAAGGTAAAACAATTACAAACACCAGGTATTTGATTAAGACGTTGAATGATATCCTCAAACCCTAGAGAAAGTAACACATACCTCTTAAAACAACCCTCCTTCCGACCATTCAATTACAGCGTGTTAAACCACCATGTACAAAAATTGCAGCTCAATTTCTATAATGCTTTAGGCTCATCAATCTTTTGATCTGAGCGAAAGAAATATTCTTAGGCATTTTTAAGTGCCTGTTTTTCAGATGTTAAGGTCGAAATTTTCTTTATTCTGGCGGAGTGTAGTTACGCTTGGACCTCCAGTCAAAGAACTATTCCTAATTATGAATCGCAATAGCCTGATGTAGGGCATATTTGCATATGCAACTCTTCGTAACCTTTATTTGAAATTTTTCAGCAAGAGCAATGAAAATGCATGCTTTCAGTCATTATGAGAAAATATATTCTCTAATTCTCTTAAATGTACAATCATACATTGTAGAGAGGATGGTAGGAGAAGATACACATAGGAAAAGAATATAATACATGTATAATAAACCGTACAAAACGTCATGTTAAGATTTAAATCAGTTATTTCTATCTATGATTTGTTTGACAATCAATAGAAATTTACATATTTTTTTCAATACTGAACAGTTTGTTGTTGAAAAAAGTTGTTTGAATTTCTCTATACTAGTATTTGGTCTGCATGTGGGAAAGTTTGAGATATTTCTTTTGTGTGCATTCAAAAACATAATGATATTCCTCACCAGCCTTATAAAGATCATATAAAGTACAAAATCCTTTGTTCTCTTAATAGGAGATCTCCCACTTTCAATAGGTAAGTTGTTACATCTAAATTTACATAACAAAATTGAAATTTTTCCAGGCATATGAAGAAGATATATTTCTGGTTCAAGTATTTCTTCATAAATGTGATAATTACGTGTAATACCTTTGGATGATTTTTTTCAAAAATCCGGTTTTGGATATTTTGGTCAACAAGTATAGGTGCAATTTTGAAGCCCTTCACTCGCATATATTTACATCCACTGAATATTTTCTTCCTTATTTCTTAAGAAAACCCATTGCGTTCATCCCTGCATAAACTACATTAGGCATATCACCTGTACAGATTTCTTGATCAGTGGCCGTTCCATCAATGTTTTCGTACAAAGACGTTAAATCATTAACACAATAATTGATATTTTTAATCCTACTTAAAATGATAATTTAAACAGATATAAATATAAACAATAAAATGTCTTTCTTTGTTTGTTGTTACTGGAATGTACGGTGGCAGCTATTGCAGAAAAATTTTTACATAAACCGCTTACGCGGGTTATGTATTTTTTCTGCAACAGCTGCTTACGTTCATTCCAATAACAACAAACAATAGAAAATTTTATTGTTTAACTGGTGAATTCCTTGTATCAATGAAACATTCACGAATGTGACTTAAACAACTTACAATCAATAGATCTTTTTTGCATTTTGAGATGCCCCCTCTCTTAACAAGACGGTAGATGTTGTGTTTCTTACATATATTGTATCATATATATTGTGAATAAAAAAATTTGAACAAAATTTCTATTACTATGTTCTTTGTATAATTTGTTTAAAGTGGTAAAAATTGGCATTTTCCTATATAATCCTATATAAATGTGTGTATTGATTTAATCTTAAAAATAGGACGTATAACAAAACTTTGCATGTACACTGAAGTTAATGTAAGTTTGTATGGATAAAAATGAAGAGTTTGCTATTGTAGTTTTCACACATTAAAACTATAGTCGGCCCCTTTACTCAATTTTTATTTCTATTTTGTGGGGTAATTTTTTGACTGTTACCACTTACCAATGTTGCATTTAACAAACACACACACGTATGAAAAATGTCATATAATATAAATTTGACTTAATAAAAACTATAAAATAAAAGTTATTTATTAAGTTTATTTTTAAAATAACAAGTAAAATTTAAATGTATATATGATCTCCCAGGGGATGTCAGGCTTGACAGATTTTCAACATATTTGATTGCATAGAATTTTTGAAGTGAATTTATTGAATAATATCAATGTAACCTGGTTGGAGTTTCTCTTTCAGTTTTTGGCTTGACAGACGTGAATAATGTTGGGACACGGCTTCAGGAGAAGAGTTACATTTTTGGAGGGACTACCGTAATGTAGTGTTGCTATCCTCATTCAAAACCCCTATTTTTTCCGAAACTGGCATTATGTTTCTGATAACTCATAGAATGTAGTAGAAGAATCAAAAAGTTTTAACTTGTATTCAATTTTTTAAAATGAATTACAAAGAGAAAAAATTTCATAGAAGTAGAAAGTAGCAAGGTAACAATAAATGATAAATTTTCACTTTAGTCTTACATTTAGTGCTTGATAATTGTATTTTCATTTTTTTTTACATGTTTTATTATAGTATCCTAAATATCGAGTATATTGAACATGTAATGATATTAAAATATATATTATTCATTTTAGAGTAAATATATTTCCTTTTCACAGATAACTATAAATTCTTTTTAAAAAAATGTTATTCAACACATTTAGAGGGCACAGCAGAAATGTAAGTAAATCTGATCAAGAAAACTCTAATATTTTATTAATTATTAAAAGCAAACAAAAAAAGCCTTTCTGCACATGCCACTTACTTCGATATATATTGTTACAGGAGAAACATTTAAGGTGAATTAATTTGTTAACTGTTTCAGAAATTACACCTTTTACGGAGATAAAAATTACTCTTGATACAAATTCTTGTTTCGCACATTGTGGTTATTGCTCTACTTATCTTAATACGAATACAGATTATATAAAATATTACAATTTTCAGTGAGCACACCGTCTGTTGTAATTATGCGAAAATACATTACGTTATAAAAAGTGATTTACAGTATTTGAATTGTTATGTCCTTATATTATGTCATGTATGTTATGTCTCTTGAGTGATTTAAACACCACTGTTACTTTGTAGGTGTGTCTGAGTTTTAACCCCCAGAGTTCTGTAGTGGCACTTTGAAGTGATTTTTTTTGGAAACGGGGGGGGGGTCTCTCTTTCTGTAAGTGTTCTTAAACTTACATCCTGATATATCACGGCACTGCGGTCTTGGCATGATAGAGATTTCACTGCACAATGGGCCTGTGTGCCAAGTATCTGGTACATTTCCCCTTTTCTTTTTTTATTTTAAAATTGAGGTTAGCCACAGGTTAAAATTTTCCCTGTTTGGTAGTCTAATTCTAATCCACTCACAAAATGTAACCCTTTTGTCATTTAAGCTGTTTTTAAATATATTATTTCTGAAACATGTTATTAACGCGTCACATGTACATACCAAATCTTCAATTGCTCAACGGAACTATATTTAAAAATTGATGAAATTTACAATAAGAGAAACCACTAACTGATATCATCAGTGATTAATTTATTTGACAGTTTAATATGAAAAACAAAATATCCATGAAACAAACTTTTCCTGGAATTAAGAATAAAAAGAACACTGTAGACTCCAATCATGAGGTATATCATTTAATTTCAAAAGATTGAATTATCTTTTCTTTTAACATCCACCGGTAAAGATAACGGGACCATTGATCACACAGTGTCCTGTGGGACATACAGGAGTAGTAAGATGTTTACCAATTAAAAGGATAATTTTAATTAAATGGAAATTTGCCCCAAAATTTTGCTAGATTGATTTGTGTTAACACAATTTTATCGTTTAGGCGTTATTTTTACTGATGGACACAATTTAACTTTTTCCAATTTTTAACTATAGCTAAAGTTTTCACATAAAGGCTCCAAAAGGACAAAAACTAAAATATACTGGGATGACACTTAATCGATAAATCTCTATATAAGTATATATTCAACCATTTAAAAAAACGAATTTATAAACATTTGATATGTTGTAATTAAAAATTATACTGTACATTGGTCAGGATTTATTGTGTACCTTAAAACTGTTGATCCAGAGAGATGGACCTTCAAGCTAATTATAAATCCCTGATATCATCTTCCTACACAGGCCGATGTATAGGTACCCTGAGAGGTCATGCGACTGCTAGAATGTGGCCTTTGAAACGAACGTTTTTGCATCAAAAATTGGCAAGGTCAATAGTTTTTCTACAACGTACACAACCTCATCTCCAAGTTTGATTTCGAAGGTGAGCAGGGACATAATTTTAATTATCGACACAAAAAGGGTAAATTTAATTTGAAGTTAAGAGTTTTGTCCCATATTCCGAGCAAAATTTTAAGTGTAAATGCAGAGCTGCCAACCCTTACGCTTTCGGCCTATTTTACGTCGTTGGTGTATTTCGCTTTAATTTCTCTCTTATTTTCCAACAATTTCAGTAAGTTGGCTTCATAAAGTTTATCAATAACTATATTTTGGAACTGACCATTACAGAATTAGCTACTATTATAATTCAAAGAAATGTCATAATCCTAAATCTTGCTTGAACAATATCAGTGTGATTAATTTATAGCAATCTGTTGTTTTAAAGTCTTTGTACAAAAAGAAAACCAAGAAAGTTATTGACTCGTTGAGAAGGAAACAAATGTTGTCATTATATCTTAGACTTCATAAAATATTTAAAACATTTTTTGTCGCTGTAAA